GTTGCTCTTGATTCTTGGCTGGTTCTTTCATTGCCATCACCTTGTATGATTGTCTATATGCTTCGTCGGCTGTTTCTTTTGTTTTAAACGATTGATGTTGGACCGGTTTGCCGTTGATGTGCTGGCTAGCAATGGCCAGTTATGATATACTCCTCGGTATGGTCCATTAAATATGACATACCATTTGCTGCCTTTTCTGTCGTCTTCTTCATAGTGGGAATCTTTTGTTTCTTTTTCTTCTTGTTCAACGATGTCTGCCCATCGTGTCGTCTTTTGTATATTATTGCTGGTAGTGGTGGATGATTGTGTTGCTGCCGACTTTTCTTTTTCAGCATGTTCTGTGGTCAGTGTTGATGGCTTTCCACTAGTGGAGCTAGTTGTTAATGTACTGACGTCGATGTAGTTGATTTTTAACTGTTGCTGAATGACGTCGATTGATTGAATTATTGCTTCTTCCTCCCCCTGCAAAGGAGAAGCTGTTGTTCCAGTGCTGCACTCTTTTCCTGCTTCTGCTTTAGTTGATTGATGAGGGTTTTTATGAATCCTTCCATTCTCGAGTCAGTGTGTCTGTGAATGGATTGTTGCTAGACTTGATATACTTCAGATAAGGATTGTAATAATGGAGCTGTTGTTGCCACCTGATTAATCTTCCTTTGTTGAAATCTGCCTGAAGCTTGTACCTCCAAAAACCTGTTACATATTTAGAGTCGGTTTGAAGTTCAAACCTTGTAGATAATAATTCAAGCTTCCATTTTTTCAATATTCTGAGACAGGCTAGTGTCTCTAATTCGTGGATCGGATAGTTCTGTTCAGTGGCGGTAAACGTTCCAGAAATATATTTACATAATTTCTTAGAATATTTATCACTGTTGAAAGGAACTGATGTTTGAGAGCTTGAAAGTTCAATAATATTGTCCGAAGACTGATAATCTTTAGGCTCTTGGCCAGAGACAGTAGCCTCGTTATTGTCTATTTTGACATTACCAAAATTGTCCATTTGTAATAATTCCTTACCATTTTGTATTGCTAACATACACCCTGCCCAAGTGTCCTTAGAGGCATCCGTTTGAATTATTAGAAAATCGTTTTCACAAGGGTTATATAATTTTGGTAAATGCTGACATTTTTCCTTCATTAATAAAATTATTTTTGTATCTTGATCATTCCATGACCAAGGGATTTTGTCAGAAATCTTTTTCTGTAAATGTTTTCTCTCTTTTGCTAAATCTTTTAAAAATCCTTGTTCGCTTATATAATTTAAGCATCCAAGAAAACGTTGAATTTGTTTTCTATTTTCAAGTTGGTTTGGGAATTTATCGATTTTTTCTTTAGTGTTTGGTGACAACTCAATTTCACCCAAATTATTAATCTTCATACCAAGATATTCAATTTCTCTTTGAAGAAGTTTCGATTTCTTCTTAGAGATAATTAGACCTTTTTCTTTTATTCTCTGTAAAACTATCAAGATTTTTTCACGATGGTCTTCTTCTGATTGATTTGTGAAAATAATAATATCATCAATGTATGCTAAACAGAACGATTGAAAACCTTCTAATACATGATCCATGAACCGTTGGTAAATAGCTGGTGCTTGCTTCATTCCAAATGGGAGAACATTCCATTCGTAATGTTTTTGTGGTGGACATGAAAAGGCTGTTAAAGGTGTGGTATTCTCATGTAGACGAAGTTGCCAATATCCAGATTTAGCATCTAAACTACTAAACAACGTTTGACCTTTTAATCTTTCTAATATATAGTCTTTCCTAGGTAGTTTATAGCTATCTCCTATTGTTTGTTCGTTTAGTTTTTTATAGTTTATTACCATTCTTCTTTTTCCTCTTTTGATTTCATTATTATTTTCTACATAAAAGGCTGGTGCACTGTGAGGACTTTTACTTTCTCGTATTATACCTTTTTCAGCTAACTCTGAACATTCCTTTTGGAATTCTTCTACATCTCGTTGAGTATATTGAATTTTGTTAGGGACATTAACTTCCATTTTAGGATCTTTTAGTTTAATTTCGATAAGTTCTTGATTGGTATTTTTATTTTTATCTAAATGATGTTCACTACACACCTGGTCTAAAGTATCCTCTAGAATGCTATAGGTAATCTGTATATATTCTAGTCTATTTTTGAGGTTTTGAAGTACGATTTTTAGCACTTCATTTTTTGTGATTATTCTTGTTGTGATTATCTTAGATTCTTGGTCTATTGTTTTAGGACATCTAAGGCTGATTGTTCTAAACCTTTGGATAAATGGTTGATATAATTTTAGAAAGTTATTTCCTATTATTATATCTAGTCCTGAGTCATGTTGATAGATTGTTTTAGCTGTGAAGATATGTTTTTCAATGATTATTGGTACATATTGTTTTACATACCAAATTTCATGGATAGATTTGTCCGCCACTATAATTTTTAAAGGTTTTTCAAGTTTATCCCATTTTTTTATGGTTGATTTTTTGGCAAAACATAAGGTTGTCCCTGTATCAATATATGCTAAGAAGCTTTTCTTCTCTATTTCAATTTTAATGAATGTTGCGTTAGGATTGCCCTTAGTTAATACCTTCTTCTGACTCATCTGAAGAGGTTTCTGAGGTTGAAATATATTCAATAATGTCTATATCGGAAAGTTCAAAATCTGTTTCTTCGATTGGTTCAAAACCACAATCGTAAGCTAATCTAAGGACTTCTTGTTTTCTAGTGTTAGTATTTTTCTTAGGACATTTATTTGCGTAATGTCCTTCTTCGTTACATAACCAACATCTACAATTTGTTTTTCCTTTAGGACAGTATTCTTGTTGTCTTTATTTTTGTTTAAACTGTTTTCTATTTCTGAAATATTTATTCGTTTTTCTAAACCTATTTTTTCTGTATTCTTTATAAGGTATTTTTCTCCATTTTTTATAATTTCTATATTTTTTCCGAGTTTTAATGATTTTACGATCATCATTACACTCATACTTTCCAACTCTGTCCATTGTTTGTTCACAACAGAGTTTAATTTTAGCTTCTCTCTTTAGTTTTTCCTTATTGCAAGCTTGTTTATGCCATTCTTGTAAAACTAATATTCGTCCTCCTAATGTATTTGGTATCTCTTCTTTAGCCAAAGTTTCATTAAAGGTAGCTTCAACTTTTCAGAGACATTAGGTGGTAATTTAGCATAGAGTAATTTATCTAGCTCTTTTCTTATCGAAGGGGTGACTTGATAATAGTGTGTTCTGAATTCACAAATAAATGGTTCTAAGAAACACATGTTGCAAATTCTAAGATTAGTTAAATGCCAAATAGCTTGTTGACTTATGGTTGTGTTTGGTTTATCTTCTCGAGGATGTCGTCCTAAGAATTCATGAGTTATTGCATTTAAGACTTTTTCAAAGGTATTCGTCGCATCCGTTGTTCCATATAACGTTGTCTTAGTAGGAATATCCATGTTGTTAAGATAATGATAAACTGCCCCAGTTGTTTTATATATTAAGAAATTAAACATTTCATTAGGGTGTAATTTCTTTAGATCTTCATTCGTTTGTATTAGTAATCCTGTTCGATTTTTCCAGTCTTCTAATTCTTTTAATGGATTGACGCAACAATCAAGATCTAATATATCAGGACTGTTAAAACTAGTGGTGGAATATTTTGGTATGTAAGATTGAGGTATTTTACTCCATCCTCCCCCTTTGCGAGGTGTATACGAATTTTTATATAAGTATTCATCAAAAAAATAGTTGACCATCTTTATAGTCATTAAAATCACGCTTTCGTGATGTTTCAGCTTGATCCTCAGTTTCAGTTTTCGTATAATTTGTATTTGTGTAATTTTTATAGGGGTTTTCGTCGCTACTATAGTCAAGAACTATTTTATCGTTTTCTATATTTTCTTCTATCTCTGGTTCTGATTCAATAGTAATTGCGGCTAGTAAATCGTTTAATTTATTAATTTGTTCGTCAATACTAGTCATAGAAGTTTGTAGGGTGCCATGATAGTTAATGGGCTAGATTTTCCTGATTTATGCTCATTCAAATATTCTTTTATATCTTCAATTGTAATGCTCCTTTTATTATCTAATTTAATTATTATTTTTTGAAGTTTAATAATGATTTCCTTAAGATCTTCTACCGGTAATACTATTTCCTTAGAATTTGGAGTTGTTTTTCCCATTGCTATTTCTCTTTGTTTTATATCCACTATTATATTGGTAATTGTATCCTTAGCGTGTTCTAAATCTGAATATATATCTTTTTGTTTTTCATTACCTTGATATTCTAGTATTGATTTTAATTGTTTATTATTGTCTTCTAATATATTTATTAGATTTCCTTGATATTCATCTATCTTTTTTCCTAATTTTTCTAGTTTTATCGAAATATTTTCAGTAGATCTAATAAATATTTTATTTTTTTTTCGTTTTCTATTTTTGGTTTAATTAAGGTATTAAATGATTTTTTAAATTTATAATAATTTAAAATTAGGGAATGTGTGAAAATTGTGAATTATTTTAAATATTTTATGCTGACTTGGCAGTGACATGGCACGTTGACTAACGGTCAACGCGTTTGACCGTCCAAGTTAACGGTCAAAAATCGGATCTGGCCAAATTGTTTATTTTGGTGTATAGTTCGGGTCAGGATGTTATAGATCGAAAAGATTGGCCAGAATGTTTATTTTGGTCAAAGTTCAGGCCATACGAAAATATTAACCCATTATTTTACTTATCCTATACTACACTCGATCATTGGTTATACATGACTTTCAATTGGGAATGGGTAGTTAGTGCAAGACATCATCGGGGTGAAGTAAGTGACCAATAAGAGAAGTAAACTTTGTGAGTGACAATCATGAATCTTTTTTTATAAATTGAGTGACTAAACATACAATTCACCCGTCCTTTAGACTCGAAATATGGGATAAATATCGATTTGATCATCAAACTCCTTAGATATGTTCGACTGACACCAAATTCTTTCTGAGAGGTACTCACAGTACTTGATTGTACTTGGTAGGAAACACCATTGGCTACATCATTCTCATCATTGTAACAAAAGTTATAAAATTTTCTTAATTAGCTAACATGTCAGTTTTCCAGGCACCAAACCACCAGTTCGGAAGTCGTACTACTGCTAAACCGTTGTAATTAACTCGCTTCACCTTTCGATTCGAGGATATCCAGCCAGACCCTATAGGCTACTGTCCTCAACAGCAAGTCACTAGCCTATTACAGCAAAAGCAAGCTAAACCGTCGTAATTTCTCTCCATTTCATTCTAGTCCTCAAATTCATTAATTCACTGTGAATCAAAACAGAAGGCTAATGACTCCCTACATCTTCATGCCTTCCCCTCAATCTTTAGAAGTTATGACCAGCAGCCCCAATGCACCAATAAGTATATACTGTCCAACAACAACAAAGAAATGACATTAGTCTGATTTTCATCAACAGTAACGAGAGAGAGAGAGAGAGAGAGAGAGAGAGAGAGAGAGAGAGAGAGTCCATTCACATAAGCAGGCAAACCTTGATAATAGGCTTCTCAGTCATGATGATTGTCACCCAGCCAACATACGGTAAGAATCTGCAACCAAACATCACATTCCAAGCTTGCCTCAGTTTCTAAGTTTATGATCCATCAGCCAGATCTCCAGTAACCGAAACTCAAACAGATATAATATTCCATACAAAGAGCTGAACATTTGTAATCATTTCCAAGTCACCAGGCAGGAATCAAGTTATAAATAGGCATGCACAGATCAATTTAGTTGTCATAAATTTTGGGTTCTCAGTTTTCTACTCAAGCAAGCACTTACCCAACAGCCCTGCCCATGATATGATGCCGCTGCAGCCATAGCTGACCTTGAGCGTACAAAAGCCTATCATCCCCATAATTATTGTCTCCTGCAACACCAACAAATAAGTAGCAGCAGATGTACAGTTAGTTACTGAAACCCACAGATTACACCATTTGAAATGCATGAAGTGCTATACTCTGAAGTAATCCCAGTAAACAAAAAATATAAATGTTAAGTTACAGAAGCTAGCAGCACCTTTGGTCAAAACTTCAACGTCCCCAGTTTCTTGTCTTTCATGAACCTGCATAACAAGTAGATACCAATTGCCACTGATCAAACTAAGTTCAGGTATTATTACAAGCACTCCTAGTATGAACTGAAAACAGCTTTACAGAGTAAGTACAAATGGAATTCCCACTGATATCGTGAAATGAATTTATACCTTAATCACACGGTGGACTATCGGAATTTCCCTGCCCTACACAATAATTCAAAAGCACAAGTTAGTGGATATATTAATAAACAACAGCTATAGTGGAAGCTACCAGGCTCAAAGCAACTTCATTTGATTACGCTCAAGTGCAGAATATGGAGAAAAGATGATTGAGATTGTCCTCAGGCTGAAATGTAAAAGGGCTGATTTTGAAAAGCATGTTGGCATCTGAGTATTCCACTAGGCTCTGGGATTAAGAAAATGAGTAACTCACTAAGACAAAAACATGCTTGAAGTAAATGAATTCAATGAGCCAATAACTCAAAATATAATTTTCTTCCAACTAAATGCTCGGATGTTATATTCACTATATTCCTTTCCATTAATCAGCTAATGAAGATCTCAGCAAGACGAACATTTCTCAGTCTCATGCCAGCATCCCACCTCTTGCATTACTGCCCATTGTAAGTTAAGTAGCAGTACACATTCCTTTAGATGCAGTAGCAGTTAACAGGATCTTACATCAACATTGAAGACAACAATCTCGCCGGTACGGATAGGATCGTTGCTCATGTGCAGAAACAAAATATCACCCTGCAAAGAAACTCAAATTGTGTAAGGATTTTCAATAAGCACAGTAACATGCTGTCATACATAAAGCAGTAAGTGGGGTCTAACATGTGAAAGGTGATACTGAGCAATTAGTGGCAAGATGAGTTTAAGTCTTTCAATTTTATTGAGAAACAAACATTAGAGTTCCAAACATGATTCTCTCATCTCAATTGCAACTGGTCACTGAAAACACTTGATTTATTTGAAGTATCTGCTACAGCAAGTGCAATAACAAAAACTAACAAACTGGACATTAAAGTGCTACTAAACATCATACTAACACAAGTCATGACAAGTATGACTACCAACCACACTAGATATGCTAGCATTAGATAACCTAGAATCATACTAACACAAGTCATGACAAGTATGAATACCAACCACACTAGATATGCTAGTATTAGATAACCTAGAAGTATAAGCACAATGATCAGGGAAATTCCATCCTGAAAAAAAACACTTTCTGAAGTAGGCTTTAGTTCAATTAACCTTCTCAAGATACCGAAACATTTTGAGGTTTGCCAACTTCCAATAGACATCATCCATTTAGTAATATTGCCTTAATCATTCTCTAAACAAAAGCTACCTTCTCAAGCAGTTGACACTGACGACTAAGGAAGTACTAGACAAGATCTATTTCGGAAGAAGAAAACCCGTCATTTTTAATACTAGTGGTCTTCTTATCCTATCTTCATCCTTAGCTGTACCAAGAACCAAACTGGTTACCAGATTGTATTATGGTAAGTAATCATTCTTCCCATCCCTGATTTTACTTACATATTCCGAACACAAGAATATGGATATGAGTATATATCACTGCAGACCTACAAAGTTTCACCTGGAGACATAAACAACAATCTCGACTCCCCCCAAAACAGTTGCCTAGCTGGTCATTTCCCATTGGAGTTTCGTTGGGTGAATATTGTCGGCACTCAAAGAAGAGCCGAGGAATTTCTTCTTTAAAATATAATAACAAAGAATCATTTCCTTTGGGGCATCATAGCGTTCAAGGGGTAATATCAAGTTGAAGGAACAAAATATAATTTCTACAGAAGGCTATCAAATGGTAACTGCAAATAGAAACATATCAGTGAAACATACAGATACACAGTAAGATTAGTAAAATATTTACACACCCTTTTGAATCCTGGTTCCATACTTCCAGAAAGCACAACCACCACTGGAGATTCGCTGCCAGTGAAGCACATTAACGCTTTCCATATTATTAGCGCAGAGGTAACAATCATACCTGTATGTAAGATGAGAAGTTAGCAAAAAACCTCACAATCTACATGCACACAGCCAAATATCTCTATCATTCGGTTAACTCAAAACCATCATCTTACATTCGATGATGCATGGAAACAGAATGAGCACTGAGTAAGGTAATAGATCCATAGGCTTTGAAATCGTTGAAACTCAACTCAGGTACAGGTACTGGTCTTTAGTTTTCAATGTAACTGTACTCACTTGTAAAATAAAACGGTAGTCTCGAATACTTTCAGCATGCCACAGATGTCCATCGACCCAGAAGTAGCAAGAAACAATGAATGGAGCAAAAGTCAAGCAGTGATGAAATGAGTCTCGCGTACTTAAGCATCTATGCCGTGCCATACTACTGCAGGAAATAAGTTCATTCCAGGATCATACTTAGCTTTTCAGGGACACACCTGCTCATGCTCTACTTAGCTTTTCAGACACTATTAGAAGCTACAACCTAAAATCAATGAGTAAACCTTCGCATGTTACAGGTAGATTCAAGGAAAGTGAGGATGACATTAGTTTGAGCATTTCCCAGGTGTTTGCTGCTCTACAGAATGACACAGAGTTCTAAAACCAGATCTAACACTTCCTCTCACTGTTGTAAAAGCTAAACCACAGTCTTCAGTACTCTTGGTCACGTATGCATTTAAGTAAAACTGCCAAGGATCATCCAACATACAGAGAGAAGAGAAGGGGAAGAAACCCAATTCAACAAAAACATAAATTTCCAATCTTACAGCCATTGTTTGGTAAATTCTCGTCCAGACGAGAAACCCAACCTTGCATTTTCCGAAACCACAACACAGCGAAACAATATTTGGCACATCAAGGCTTACAAACCCAAAATTCAATTAAAAATAGACTCCAGAATTCCGGCAACTGAAACAAACTCTCTTCCATTCCCCGGCATGCAATTGGGCAGTCAAAATCACGAACAGGGGGGGGAGCGATCATATAGGTAAATTGAAGACCAGGTTGGCTAGACCTAGACTTACCAAGACTAACGCCCTGCGAAAGGAGCTGGCGGATCTGGATGGACTTGATGGAATCAACGGTATCCCCCATCCACCCCATTCTCTCTACTGCTACTGCTTCTTCTTTTCTCGTCTTTTTCTTCCCCCTTTCTTTGCGCTTCCTCTCTGCTGACTACTCTAGGGCTTGTCGCTCCTTCTCTTTGTATTCTCTTTTTAAGTTTCTTGTATTTTCGTCTTGCCTTGCCTCTGTCGTAAAAGTTAAAATGCTAACAAGCCCTTTTGTTAGCAGATACTAACTCGTATCTAAAATGGCTGAACTAATATCCACCTTATAGGCAAAATTATGGCTACTGAAAATATTTTTTTTTCGGTAAGTAAAATAAACAATTTGGCCAGATCCGATTTTTGACCGTTAACTTGGACGGTCAAACGCGTTGACCGTTAGTCAACGTGTCATGTCACTGCCAAGTCAGCATAAAATATTTAAAATAATTCACAATTTTCACACACATTCCCTAATTTTAAATTATTATAATTTTAAAAAATCATTTAATACCTTAATTAAACCAAAAATAGAAAACGAAAAAAGAAATATTTATTAGATCTTCTGACTTGGCAGTGACGTGGCGCGTTGACTAACGGTCAACGCGTTTGACCGTCTAAGTTAACGGTCAAACATCGGGTTTGGCCAAATTGTTTATTTTGGTGTATAGTTCGGGCCAGGATGTTATAGATCGAAAAGATTGGCCAAGATGTTTATTTTGGTCAAAGTTCAGGCCATACGAAAATAATACCCCTAAAATAATATAATTATTGAATTCACAGGTCTCTAGATGTACCGTTACTTCGTTTTGGTTTGTTATCTAGCCAAACAATAATAGTGATTACTTCGATTTGGTTTGTTATCTAGCCAAACAATAATAGTGATTAAGAAAGTAATCTAACTAAAGTACTAAACTACTCTAGATTGGACTCCCTTTTTTAGTTATCCAACCCCTCTCAATTACTCTACCTAGAGAGGCATACCATAAAACTGACCTAGGCAATTGAGGTGTTCACAACCAACTCCTACGATTGGGCAAAACCCAATATGACACTATAATCAAATCACACTCCCTCAAAGACCCATAATGAAGGATTGAAGGTGCTCTAATGAACCTAGTGAGAGATTCTCTCTCCTAGGTCAAAGCAAAATTGACATCTAGTGGGATCAAGACTCATGCAGTTCATCATAAATATCAATCAAATAGATAATAAGAGTAGTCAACCATAGGATTTGTCACATACATCAACAATCAAACCAACATCTAGATATAGGGTTCATCAACCTAAATGAAGATAACTAATTCATAGAGAGGAGAGAGAATTTAGTATAAGGCTTAGAATCTTCATCTTCTAGTGGATGATTCTCAAGCTCCAATGGTGATTAGCATCTCCAATTGAGCTCCAAGAACCCTCCTAGATCACTCTCTCTAGAATCATCTCTTGGATATTTTTGGGTGAAAACCCAGCTATCCTCCTTCTCAATTCGCATATGCATACTTTATAGTCTGCATAATTAGCTCGAACACGGCCGTAAACACGACCGTGTCCTCAGACCGTGTTCGCCTCTCGGTGTTGAGTTTCATTGGTCTGCTGGAGAAAACCTGAAGGAGCCCTAACACGGCCTTGGAACATGGGCGTGCTCTTCAGTCTTCGTTAACAACACCGTTTCGAGACGGACTCACGGTTTCCGTGTTGATGCCACTATCTCGGAGACCGTAACCCTTGCACAACTCGCAAGACGTCATTTGCCATATGCTCCAAAGCACCGGACACGGGCTCGAAACACGATCGTGCTGGCTAGCCGTGTTCCTAGAAGAAATTGTCAGACACGTACCCTGGAGAACCCGACCATGTCATGGGTCGTGATACTTAACACGAGGAAGAAAAATGCCATTTTCTTAATTGAAAACTATGACAGTTAAGAGAAAATAACAAAACATTCTAATTATTTAATAAAATAGGAATAAAGAAAAGCAAATCGATATTGGGGTGCCTTCCAATTAGCGCTTCTTTTACATCTTATCGCCGGATGGCTGACTCAAGTATTCAGTCCATCTCAAAACCTTTTTGAAGTTGATATTTTCATCGGCGAAATGAAGTCTCAAGTCTTGATCGGTCTCCTGATGGTTTGGTGAAGGTTCACGTATATAAGAGTTATTGAGAAAACGCAAAGAATCACACTTCATCTTGTTTCTTCTTCTCTTCGCCTCGAACCAAGTCAAGCATTCTCGAAGGATCGTCATCAGATCCACCAAGAAGGGTTGATGATACCGTGGCCTCGTCTCTCCATATTTAGGTTGAAACTTCAAGCTTTGCTATTATTGCTCTATGTTTTGTTTATTATTAGGGCTTTCCTGATTCTGCTTAGCGGAATTTTCCCCCTGTATTCGATACCTAAAAAATGTTTGCAAGATATTTTCTACCTTCATGTGCTTTGAATTTAAGTAAATTGACATTAAGAATGAACTAGAAAAAAAAAAACAAGATAAAAAAAAAGGCTGGGCTGAAGAGCATCACCATTATAATTTAGTCTTTAGAAACTTTCCGTCTTTCTCTCTTGTATGTATGATATTCATATTAGATTTTTAGTATTAATTGCTTTTTCATGGTTTAGGGGGAAAATTAGGAAGTTGTAGTTCAAGAAAATTCTCTTTTTTGTGAGTTTCATACATCTGTAACCTTTTTTTTCTTCTATCATTCTTAATATGAATAATTTATTTTCTTCTACTTTCACCTACTTAAAAATCGATAAATATGTGTCTACAACATATTTGAACGAATTTCTCAAAAATGCCTTTATCAAGTCAGTCCACGAGTACTCCTCCTTATTTTTTGCATTTTGAGATCCCCACCTCTACATATATATGGAAGCTCGAGTCTCATGTAATTTGATGCATATCCCTATTTGTGTTATCATATATTTCCTTAATTCTCTCTAACTGATTACATGATCAACCATATACCTATTTCCACTATAAATTATGATACAACAACAGTAAAAGCATTGTAAGAAACTCACGAAACTATATAGTATCAATGCCTCAGGCCCTTGCAATGCCCCTAGCTTTGTCTTCCATATGGCACTTACACTGTTATAAATGCAACAATTTTGATCACCTAGCCAAACAATCTCCAACCCCCACTTCTTTTTCTCGCTTCCCATCACACCTCATCTCCCATTCTCAAGAATGGTTGATGGGTTCAGATACCAATTATCACCTCACTTTTGACCAGTGCAGTCAAAATCGCGCATTTAAACGTAAAAACTTACGTTTTTACGTATCCAGACCACCAAAACGTTTCAGTTTCTACCTAAATTCGCTTAGTCACAAAAACTGGTAAAAACATGGGTAAAATCGGTAACATCGCTTAAAATCGGTAAAATCGCGATTCTGAAGCGTTTTTATACGATTTTGATCATCTCATAAAAATGTGCTAATTGGCCCAAAATGATGTAATTATGGAGACATATCAGCAAAAAATAAAAAAAGGAAAACATGATTCATAACTCGTTCTACAACTAGTGTCGAGATAGGGGCTTCATATTAGGTTGAAAAGACACCTAATGGTATTCTCAACAGCCGCTGACCTTCTATCAGTCTTCTCCCTTAATCTTCACTTGTGGCTCTTACTTGGATTACGATAAAATTTTATGGGTAATTTGATCATATGTAATTATGTAAACTCAAACCAGCTTATGAGAATTTGGATTCTCAAGCTCGTTTACGAGTTACGATCTACGTTTATGAGCTTATTATTAAGATGTTATGAGTTTTCTCTACTTTTGAGTCAACACAAATTAGTTTATGTGTTAGATATTACATTTTAATTATGAATTTCATGTAGTTATTCACTTATCTAAAATCTACACACTCACATTTTACATACTATATGTTGTACTTAACATATTTTAGCTATTTTAGAGTGTGCGTCAAAAACTTACGCTTTTACGATTTTACCCATTTCCCGTTTCTAGGTAGAATCGCGCTTTTAACTGTATTGCTTTTGACATTAACAATCTTGCTCTTCCTTTTGGATACCATGATCCGAAGGAAGTTTCTTTCACCAACGGTAACACTCTTATTATTGCTCACCATTGTTCTTTTAATCTCTATGTGATCATCACTTACACTTATCTCAAGGAATCCATGTTCCCTCAACTACTCAAAATCTTATCTCGGTTAACACCCTTGTACTAATCCTTTGTATGTTTATTTTGCTGATAATTCTTTCACCACTAAGGACACACGATCCCATAAAATTCTACACCGCTATCGAAGTAAAGACAGTCGATGCTTCGTTCCTCTAACCATCCTCTACATTAGGGCTGGGAAACAGTCCGGTTCGGTTTAAACCGGACCGGATTGACCCGATTTTTTTGACCGGATTGGACTTATGCCCAACCGTGGACGGGATTGGACTGGGACACGGTTAAAACCAAACCGGATTGGATCAGATACGGTTTGGTCCGGTTTTGACCGGAAAACCGTTTTGACCGGAAACCACACCAAACGACCGGCTGGTTGACAAACCGGGTCGAACCGGGCAGCACCTCCCCTGTATTTAAGTGACCAGCAGCCCCTGTTTCTTTCAATTTTCACCAAATTTCAATAAAACTAAGACAAAACATTCCAACATTAATCATAATAGTCTCACACACACAAACACAAAGTCTAAATAAAGTTCATTACATAACCAAAGTCTTTAAATCCATAATGCATAAATAAAGATAACATAAATCGAACAAACTCCACTTCAACTCGCCAACCAATCATTTCTACTCTTCAATGGAAACAAAGGAAGAGTTGGTTGCACCACGACTTGCCTCACTTGCATGTCCATCTTTCGATCCAATCACGCTACCATCCCCAATCTTGCTCGTACTTGTAACTTCAATTCCACTCCCGCGAGATTTGGCATGCTCACGTGCTTGCCTCTTTTCTTCCTCCACCACAATGGTATTGTAAACTAATTCACAAGTCACAACAATAACAAATTAATAATTAACAACTTAACATTCACATATCAAATTGATAAAAACAACCATCATAAAATATTGTATCACTTACCATTCACAAAGGCATCTTCATCCTCATAGTCATCATCATCAACACCATTAGAGTTGAACTCACAAGAGCTTGATCTAAGCCAATCTTGACTACAAATGAGTGCTTCCACAATTTTGGGATGCAAAGAGCTCCTAAAAC